ATTTTTTTTATTGTACCACCTTTGGAATTTTTTAAAACACAGCTTTGTAAAATTTTGCCCTTTGTAGAGGGATGGTGAAAAGTACAGTCAAGGTACTTCTCGTGAAGTTCAAGATAAAAAAAAAAAAGAGTATAGTATAGTATTTTTTTTTTTTAAATCTAGTCCTTACTAGGTCCTAAAATAAGACAAATACAGCTCGAGATAAAAGAATAGCACATGACATATTGTGCAGTGTCATTATTTATTTGACAAAAATTAAAATGTGTGTGCAAAAACTAAGGGCACCCCATTATTCTGAAGCTTCTAGAACCACCTTTACCCACAATAACTTGAAGTAATAATTTGTTATATTACTTTATCAGTCTCTCACTTCACTGTGGAGGAATTTTGGCCCACTCTTCTTTACACTGTGTAGTCAGTTCAGTGAGTTTTGATTCATTTATTTATGCAGAGCTCTTTTCGGGTCCTGCTATAGCATTTCAGTCGGGATTTGATTCTTTTCTGTTTCAGTCATTCATTCAGTAGTTCTGCTGCTGTGCAACTGCTTAGGATCATTGTCTTATTACATGACACAATTTTCAGCCAAGCTTTAACTGTTGGACAGATGGCCTGATATTTGACTCTAGAATGTTAGTGACTGCAAGGTGCCCAGGTCCTGTGGCTGTGAAACAAGCCCAAATCATCACCCTTCCACCACCGTGCTGACAGTTAGTATGAGGTGTTTGTGCTGATATGCTCTTTCACTATCTCGATAGTGACACTGTGCATTACAGGTGACTTTGGGGTCACCTGTTCAAAGGACATTGTTACAGAAGTCTTGTGGTTTCTTCTGAGACAAACCGAAGTAGTCTCCATGTTCTTCTTAGAGGGAAAAGGCTTTCTCCTGCTAACCCTTTGAAACAAGCCAAACTTGTTCATTCTTTTTCTAAGTTTACTGTCATAAAATTAGCATTTAACTTGCTAAACGAAGCCTTAAGAGTCTAAAATGTAGGTCTGGGGTTTTTTGCAGTTTCTCTGAGCACGTCTGACTTTGATTAAATTTCCTGGCACACTCATTCTTGGCAACTTCCTTGAAGGACTTCACATTTTTTGGAAATGCCCTTATAACTCTTCCAAGACTGGTAGGCAGCACCACTCCTTTTTAAGTTTTTTGAGATCGCTGCTGATATCTTTTTACTTGGCATTGTGTTAACACACACCTGAATGCCCCAGATTAGAATTTGTGATAAACAAATGCTGATAAACAGTTAATCAAGTGTATTTGATTAAAGCAACTGGCTGCTACTTATTGTCTTAATTCCGATAGTAAGTAAAGGTGTACCTAGTACCTAAGCAGTACACATTACTTCTGCATTGTGGCAATTTTTTGATAAATAAATAATGGCATGCTGTCATATGTCATGTTTTGTTGTTTATCTGACCAATCCAAATGTATGCATCCTGATGCATGAAACTTTATAAGTGACAGACGGTGGACTTTCTTTTTACCATGACTACACCACCACCTACTGAAAGACTCTAGATCACAACTATGAATTAATGCTTTGTTTGTGGAGTGATGGACCTTACTTGTGTGATTTCATTATTCTGTATTTATACTTAAATGTATGTGTTTTTAAAAATGGTAATAATACCATTAAGACCATCAAATTACTTTTAAACCAGTTCAACAAGACATGAAGAAACAAGTAACCAGTGACGAGAACAAGTAAAGTTTTTGTGTGTGTGTGTGTGTGTGTGTGTGT